GTCATCGCAACTGCTGCCGCCTCCCGAACCAATGGGGGCGTAACCGCTGCCACCTCATGAGCCACCAGAGGTATGGCCACCGTCGCCTCCTGGCACCACCGGAGGTGTGGCCACCTTCGCCTCCGGCACCACCGGAGGTGTGGCCACCTTCGCCTCCAGTGGGGAAAAGGGGGGGCCCACAGACGGAGAGGCTGCTGGGGGCCCCGAGATGGGGTCTCCCAAAGGAATTGGATTCCACACCGCATCAGTATTCTGAATAATCTTCACTCAGTCCTTTGGAACCTTTTGCTTTGGGTCACTTGTGTCTCATCGGCGCCAGTTCAAAGGCTGCGAGTGGCCACCTTCGCCTCCAGTGGGGAAAAGGTGGGTCCCACAGACGGAGAGGCTGCTGGAGCCACTGAGATGGAGGTAGAGACATCCGCGGGCATGAAGCAAGAACACACACACTTCTCCACTTTTAATCTTTTTTTTTTAAAAGAACTCTTTTTGTGACTTTTACTGCAGTCTTATTAAAAAGGAGCGTGATCTTAAAAAGCAAGGCCAACCCAGAGGGTAAAACATGAAGCATGCAGTACTGGGGGTGTTGTTCGTTTTTACTGTGGAGGATACAATCTTCAATAATATACAAATATACAATAATAATAGAATTGTAATCATCCTTTACACACAAGGTATGGCAGTGATAACCTAATTATTATATAACTATAAAGAAAAGGAAACAATGTCAGCTGATGGTTCACCACCTGGAGGTGTGTCATCTTTATTTTAGAAAAAATAGATGGTGGTGTTTGTGATGCAACGTTCCACAATTAACCAAAAGTCCCACTAACCAACAGTCCAACCGACCAACAGTCAAACTGAAACACAGTTCAATTAACCAACAGTCCAATTAACCAACAATCCAACTAACCAACAGTCCTACCAACAACAGTCCAACTAACAACAGTCCAACTAATCAACAGTCCAACCAACAACAGTCCAACTAACAACAGTCCAACCAACCAACAGTCCAACTAGCCAACAGTCCAACTGACCAACAGTCCAATTAACCAACAGTCCAACCAACAACAGTCCAACTTACCAACAGTCTAACCAACCAACAGTCCAACTAACCAAAAATACAACTAACCAACAATCCGGCAGTCCAACCAACAACAGTCCAACTGACCAACAGTCCAATTAACCAACAGTCCAACCAACAACAGTCTAACTAACCAACAGTCCAACCAACCAACAGTCCAACTAACCAACAATTCAGCCAACCAACAGTCCAACTAATCAACAGTCCAATTAACCGACAGTCTTTCAGTTTTTATTTTACAATTAAACCAGAGAAATTAATCCCTGTTTTTTTTTTTAAACCATCGAAACAGAAGTGAACATTTCACCTCCCAGTCCATGGAGCTCTTCAGGTGGCTGTGTTCTGATCTGATATTTGAAAAACATTGACAAATTGTTGGTGTTATTTGTATCACTTTAAAGATAAAATAATAATAATAACTGAACATCATCTCCATAAATGCTCTGCAAAAGTCTATCCTCACTCCTCTGATATCTTTGTCTCTTGGTTAAAGAGTAAAGTGACCTTCACAGCCTGACAATATATTTGGTTTAAAAACAAAAACATCCACATAATACAATAAAGTATTTCCGCCTCAGTTGGTTTGCAAAATAAGTGTGAAGATTAAAGGTTTCATTAGTATAAAATGATAAAACCAGGTTCTGTAATAACATCAAAACCAAAAGCACAATGTTTACAATGGAAAGTTACACCTTGGAGACAGGTCTGTCTCTGCGAAGACCATGTGACAGGAAGAGGCCTTATCATCCAAAATGACATCATCACTCTTGGAGCTCCAGAATTCCCCATCATGTGATGTTGGCAAACACAGCAGACTGTGGCTCATATTCCCCACGGTGTTTGACTATGGAGCTAGAACAGTCTCAAAAAGAATAAATACATAAACAACAATTCACAAATGTACTTTGAAAATTCATATTTCCATTTCTGTATTCCACGCCGTTTCTGTATTTATTCTTTTTGAGACTGTCCTAGCTCCATATTTGACTCATCTAATGAAATATATAAATAAAGAATGAATGATAACTGTGAAGTTGTACACAGACACGTTTCTGGTGAAGGTATGCTATTTGATTTTACAAATAATTTGTTTACCATGACATTTAGGTAATTGTTGTTTTTGACAGAAAATTGTTTAATTTCTTTTTTCGTTCTTTGAACTTTACAAAAGAACTTTTTTGTCTGTGAATTCCTCTGAACAGTGTATGCGTTTCTCTTCTATATAAATGAAACAGTTTAAATTAGATTTTAAAAAAGGGCATGTGGTGGCGCAATTACGGGACAGGGGCATACAGAAGATTTCACTGGTGTGTATGCATTAGTGACATCTAGAGGCAAGATAGCAGAACGCATTAGACATTAGTCATGCTTCATTGGTTCGATAATTTAACCTCATACTATGTTATTAGATTTATTATACAATTATTATTTAATTTATATCTCACGTACACTTATTCTTAAGCGGTAATTGTTGTTGTCGTTGTTATGAATTACCTCCCGAACTTTGAGGATAGAATGAATGTAAATCAATAATGTTGGCTCAGCTTATTTAACTGGTGAACCAGAGCATTACAGTATAGTTGTTTATAGCCAACCCTTCAGGCAATGATGGCAGGTCAGATTTGTAAAAAGAAGGGTAGAATTGTTAAAAAAATGTCACTTCACTTGTCAGAAAAGTCACCATCTTTGTCCAACATTAAAGCCAGAATCACTGAACAACCCTCCTCCACCACCTCCTCCTCTGTCTCCTTCTCCACCTCTGTCTCCTTCTTCTCCTCTGTTCTCCCCTCCACCCGTGGTCAGACATGGCAGGTCATCAAAAAATCTACTTGTTCCCTCTCCACCTGTTTTAAAACACTATTAATCTGCTGTCTTCCAATAAAAGGCTTGGCTTTCACTGGCAGCCAATGGGAAGGCGTCTAAGCAGTGCGAGGCCGGCCAATCTCAGGCTACATTCTAATGCGGCCTATCTTTATCAAGGTGCCACTCAGTTTTCTCATGCTGCTTATTTCACACTTTTGAGGAGTGGGCCGCCCGGAGGGATGTGTGTTTAGGAAAACACCAAAACCCGTGTCTGTCCAGCTTCACCAGAACTTCAGAGATGGAGACATGTAGCGCCAAACTGTGGTTGAGACGAGGTGAAAGGTGAAGCATTGATCCAAACATCACTGACCTCAACTGTAATTATCCCGCCAGTGCTGTTTAAGAAACTGAAGACAGAACTCTTCTCGGAATCCTCGGTGGTCTGCTCCTCACCCGGATCTTACTGGATGCGTTACTGACTTCTGCAAACTTCCCATGGATCCCAACATCCAGGGGTCTTTCCTGTTCAACAACAGCCTGAACCAGTTCCCCTCGGACCTGAAGACCCCCGTGTGCCAGTACTCTGTGCCCAACTCTTTCTACAAGCTCAACCCAGGCCTGAACAGCCAGCTGCAGGCTGCAGGGACGCCCCACGGCATCAGCGACATCCTGAGCCGTTCCATGGTGGGAGTGGGCACCACGGGCACCACCACCCTGCTCTCAGGATACTCCAGCATGGGGGGCTTCAGCCCCTCCGTCACCAGCACCTCCATGTACTACAACCGCGACTACAACTCCTCGCTGGGCAGCTTCACCAAGCCGGTCCAAGAGTGTCCCATGAAGAGCAGGAGTGTGAGCTGCTGGGCAGAGAGCGGCTGTGAGTGGAGAGGAGGGAGGCAGCAGTGTAACAGTGAGTGTCAGGACTAAAGGATTGAGTTGGAGTCGGAGTCGGAGTTGGAATCTGAGTCGGAATCTGAGTCTGAGTCTGAGTCCACTCCAACTCTCTGATGAGGGATGGAGACACTTTTAATACCTTCCATTCCTTCCATCCACATCATCACATTCACATTCCATCAGTACTAAAGGACAGTTCAATAAAAATGATAAAGAGAAATGTATAAATTACGTGGTTTTGTAAAATGGTTATTTAGTTGTATTCAAACCAAACAAACAAAGTTGACATCTACATTTCAGAAGTTTTTACATTTCAGAGAGATCTGTATCATGATCCTGATACAGATTTTTTTCCTCTGTAAGATCTTGGTTGTTAAAGACCAGCTGGGTGAGGACTGATAACCTGCAGGGTCAAGTTTCTCAACCATGGACACATCTGCAGATCACATCATTCATTTTATACAGCATGTTGTTGTTACCTTTACATTTTATTTATTGTGTTTATATTCAAATTAATATTGGTATAAAAATACAGTTGGTGACAGAAAACAGAAAATGTACATTTTATACATTTTATTTTTATAAGATCAGACTATTATGTCTCAATTTAATTAAATAGTTATTTAGAATGAATAAAAAAAGTAATAATAAAAGCAATGTCTGCCCGCCCAAAACGACTTGCATTTGTTGACGACGAACCAGGAAAATGTGTAATTTTAGAAGGAAAGCAACTTTTTAATTTTATATAACTATTATTATTATTATTATTATTATTATTGTTATTATTATTATTATTATTATTATTATTATTATTATTATTATTATTATTATAGGTGGGGGTCCTCTTGGAGAAATGTCTGCCAGGAAGAAACACACCAGACCCACCTTCAGTGGACATCAGATCTTTGCTCTGGAGAAAACATTTGAACAGACCAAATACTTGGCCGGACCTGAGAGAGCACGACTGGCTTACTCTCTGGGGATGACAGAGTCTCAGGTGAAGGTAAAGTCTTTAATTCATTTTTTTGTTTTATTTTTCCTGAAACTTCATACAATTAAAAAAAATATAGGTTGATGTTTCTGCTTTTCATAAACGGCTGTGTTGACCTGACTTCAAGGTCAAATGCACACACGTTTAAGGTCAATGATCCTGCTCTGCCAGCACCTTATCCCTGTCATCAAAGACATTTGGACATTTAAATATATTATGGTATTGTTTACTCTACAAATCTCAGGCTTTATTTTAGTCCAAGTTTTAATTAAATTCTCTAATTGGGGTAAAAAAAAGAAAAGAATAATTTAACTTTTTATATTCTTTCTATTAAAAATATAATATATATATTATTATGAAAATCTGATTTATTTTGTGGAAAGAAAGAAATGAGTTGTGGTTTTCTGAGACTCTCATTTTGACCAAGAAAATTTTCCTTTTTCTTTACGCACATTTGATTCAACTACAGACAGTGAAAGCCTTGTGTTGTGTTGTGTTTAGGTTTGGTTTCAGAATCGACGCACCAAGTGGAGGAAGAAGAGCACGACGGAACCAAGCTCCACTCAGAGCGGCCACACAGGACAGGCCTCGGACAACGAAGTGGAGGACGAGGAGTACAACAAACCCCTGGACCCGGACTCTGACGACGACAAGATCCGACTGCTGCTGCGAAAACACCGCCGAGCTTTCTCTGTCCTACGTCTGGGGCCACATCATGTCTGATACACACACACACACACACACGTACACACGGGGGCTCCTGCATGACATCATGAAATAAAAACATGCATCAGTTATTTCCACAGAACAATCAGCTGAAAACAGATGTTTACTTTTATAAGTTACTGATCCCTGATCAGGTCCATGTTACTGTGACACTTGGAGGAAATACATTATACACGAACACACACATTTTAAAAACACAAGAAAAGTATTTGGAGGAAAAAAACTGCATGATTTTGGTGGGTGTACAATTCTGAAATATTTAATGAATAAAATAAAGGAACACTACTGTCATCTGGTCTGTATTCTATGAATGTGAATATGTTTTTTTCATTGTGGATCAAAATGATACAAATTAGTATTTAAAAAGTAGAAATATATAAAACACAACAATATACAACCTGGAGTTTTTTTTCTTTTTGTCATTTTACATGATATACACAACAACATGGAGCTATGTGGTTTACTGCCCACTGCCAACAATAGCATGACATGTCGAAATGTTCACCTGTAAAACAAACTTTTAAATTATTTTTTAAAATTACTTTAAAATTATTTTTATTTTTTATTAGATAAAGTAAAACCTATTGAGGAAATGCCAAAGGAAATTGACACATTGCAGCAATAAAAAAAAGTGCAAGAAGAAAAAAAAAGAAAAACAATTGGAAAAAAAAGAAAAACCTTGTACCAATGTATAAGATACTTTACAATGAAAAAGAGAAATTAAATTAAATCCAAGCTTTAAAAAATTAAATAATTAAAACAGAAGTGTGGTTTAACCTGAGGCTGAAAAAGGATCTGGATTTGACAATGACTACACTAACGTCAGGTGAATCAGCTGAACCTCTGGTCACACAGGTCGCACAGCAGCCAACATACGGTTGTGTTGGAGTTTGTCAAAGTCGGGTGTAACGTCTGGTTTTTAGGCTGAATCTGAAGAATCTTACAGTCAGATATAGCATGCTGTGCTTCATCAGACCAAGAGTACAGCTATGTCTGTTTTTGCATATATCTCATGGTCCAATCACATGGCTTCATTTAAATATGTCTTCAAAGTTATCTACCTCCAAATTTCTACGACAAATACAGAGACCAGTGTGACGTCAAACCCACGCTGAGTTGATGCATCTACCAGCATGGTGAAGTCTGTTCCTTTATCTAATCTCTATCTGAGCTCTAACGTTAACAGTGAAGAGATTTTATTTTTTTTACGTTTCCTGCATATGTGAAATTTTTAAAACAAGTAATTTTTATGAAGTAATAGTAACAGTAACAAAAGAGTATTTTTTCCATCGACAAATGTATAATATTTGTGAAATGTTACAGTATTTAAACTTAAGTAATCTTTCGGTCAATGCATTTCCATTTTGTGCCACTAATGTTGGTTTTGTGTCATTGTTCTGTTTTGGATAACTGTGAAGTATGAATTTTGGGGAATTGAAATTTATTTAACCCATAAACGTCTGCCCGTTTCTCAGAATTCCAAAATACATAAATCTGGGACAACGGTTGCTACAAGGTCTTACAGTTGAATTCACAAGGATATCATTCTGAATTTATTCATAAAAATATTTGTTAAAGTATTTTATCCAATATGGAAGAAATTAGGCCTGTTCACCAAAAATGGTAGTTAATGATCTACTTCAACTCAGTGCAGCCTTAAACATATTTTTTAGCTGAGTTTTCCCTGATGCCTTCACTATCAAATGACAGTTAAAATTAAACAAGAAGCAAAGAAGCAGAAAAGCACAGAGAAGTGCAAAGGTCACAGGTCAAATGCTGTGTGATTTACCAGGGTGGTATGGCTTCAATGAAGACAATGACTCGCTTTACACCATCCAACATAAAATCAATATCTGCAGAGCAGCTCATTTAGCGTTTAGGCTCAGTGAGTTTGACTCCATCTGTCCTGACGTCAGCTCTAATCATCGATCCAACCATTGATCACTGTATTTCCCGTATTTTGTATTTCCTGTAATTTTATTCACGCTGAAACATCCAGAGTTAAACCCATGACGCTGCAAATATTGAGCAGAAATTCTTTGTGATTTATGTAGGTTTTTTCCCAGCTGCTTTCTGCTTATTTTTAGATCTATATTTGCTAGTGTCAAAAGTCCAAAAGTGAAACCCATTCCAGGTCAGACTTTCATGATTTGTTGGCTCTTGATTTTTTGTTTTAACAGATTGCAGCCTAGTTCAGCTTTAGAGGGCAAGATTTCCTCCTCAACTTTAGAAGTCGATTTTTATTTTTTCTGTCACAAGAAAACAAAACAAACAAAAAAAACCTCAATCCATGACTTGATTCTGGGAGAACAAATGTGGACCAGCAGTGACTAACTGCAGGCTGAAGCTTATTTATTATTTTTTTTACATTTTTCATATTTTCATTAAAGTGCTCCATAACTAAATTATCATTTTATCAAGTTTTTTTGTTTTTCAGAGCAGCTATGATCAGATGTCAATAGTGGCCAAAACCAGAAATGATAAAAACCAACGTAGTAGCAGTGTACGTCATCGTCAGTATCAGAATATCTCATCACTGCAACAACTAGAAGGGAACAGAACAATCTGTCCATCAGAAACATTTGGCTGTGCTGCTCCCAGTTTCACCTGAACGCTAATGACAACAAACACTAGAGAAACATTTTTTTAAAGAGAGGAATATTTTATTAACAAAATACACAATGTAGTGTTGAGTTCTTCAGAATGTAATACTGACCAACATAACCACCTCAGCTGGTCAACAGATGAATTGCTACATTTATAAACATCTTAAACTCATCTTGCTATGGCAAGGTTTAGTAAATGACAAACAGAAGCTTTTACAGAAGGTGACACTGAATTTACACCGAGTGCTGAAACACAGGGCTGTTAACACAAAGAAATGCCACTCGTTACATTGCCAATATTGTCAATAAGAATCAATGAGTCCTTTTGTTGTCCTCAAATGATGTGCTGTCATAAAGTGACACTACAGAGCCTCACTGTCTTGACATGCTCAAAATATTATCACAAATGCAGTGTAACATGGGCCAGGTCTGAACAGGATAACACTGTACATTTTGCAGGAAAAAGGAGAGTTTTACAAAAACCTTTGCCTGTATTTTTTTTTTTCAAATACATGAAACACTAAAGGTGTATGTTGGTATGTGGATCTGCAGTTGTGCTGCCATCTGTTTTTCCTCATTCTTTGGCAATGATGAAGACATTTTGTGTTGGAAATGTTCACCAACTTTCAGCCAAGATCTCAATAAGAGTAGGTTCCCTGCTAGACAGTTAGTTATTCTCTTAATAGAAACCATTTTGTGCAAAAATGTGACTTTCGTGGACATTTTTCAAAGCTATGCCCTTAAAACAACTGGTTTTGTGCTTTCTTAAAAAGACCCAGTTAATGTTGCATGCTACATGTGAGGATATTTTGAGCACAGTGAGAGCACAGTCTGCCACTGGAGTAGCAACCAAGCTGTAATTAAGAATTCATTAGAAAATCTAAAATATAACATGTCAATGTTTGAGCAAATCAATTCATTTTTGTTTTACTTTTCATAGTACATTCGATCAACAGTGTACGTTCAGATCCTCCTTCAAACGACACAAACAACTTAGTCAAAGTCACAAAATGATTAAAAAACAGACCAAATCCCTATTTTATATCTTCAATATTACTAAAACCCAACAAGAAAATTAAAATTAAAATGAACAGATAAAACAGTAAAACAGTGCATCACAGCAAATGATTGAATATGAATATGCTAGGAATTGAACAAACCAAAAAACACAGGAAATCTAAAATCAAACATTGGTCTTCAGTAAAAATGCATATGTATATACTGTATACTGCATTTAGTTTAGTGACACTAACATTGGTGCTGTTACATCGATGACCAGTAAACACACAAGGCCTGCAGTGTTATTCTTCTGACAATCAAATAAGATGCAAACCAGAAACAAACAAAAAAAAAGGTTCTGCTACCAGCTGAAACAAAGCACTTGGTATAAATGTACACTTTCACCACAGACAGAAGATAATGTCTTTATTCACCTTAACTTGGACGAAATTTTAAAAAGCAGCTACACTGTTGCTTTAAACCGTGAAGACAATGGAATGCCACTGCTAAATAATAACAATAAAAAAGCACGCGATAAAATCACCTACGCTGTGGGAAAGTATCTAATGACGCACACATGTGCATACATATGTGTGCGTCATTATTATCATTATCATTATCATGAATTTCCTGTTGAGGTGAAACCTTGCCTTATCACAGTTAATGACAACAGAATAGTAGCATGCACCATGCTGGCTGTGATTTAACTTCCTTCTCAGAGGGAACACATTTTCTTCAGTTTTGTTTTTTTACCTTCAGTAAAAATTATTTTCTTCCATTCTTTGCTATAGTTAGCCAATTAAACTTTACATGATTTAACCACATTTAAATGGTTGAGTTTGACTTTTAGGGTATGTTGCTGTAAAAGTCAAATATGTTGGTGAGAAACTTAAAAAAAAAAAAAAAGCTTAATTTAAAAGTTACTTTCTAAATTTGAGAACTTCAAATGTCTAATCTGGACCGGACCACATTCTAGGTGGCTGACATTCAATTTCTCATGTCACCTTTTCTGTTGAGCATTGATGTGTTCTGTAAACTTGTGATATTTGTTCATGATGTGACAACAAAGGGGTGAAAAGTAAAAGTCTTCTAGTGTAGAACCTTCAATGTTCCTTTTTTCATTTAAAGATATCTATGACCTGAATGACTGAGAACTTCACCGATGTGTAAAATATTTAAGGCCAGTGCAAAAAAAAAAAGATAGTTCTTTTTTTTCTGAGGTTTGTCTGTTTTAAAAACCCATTGAAAAATAATGCAACAAGTAAAACCAATGCCTTCAAACTGAAGTAAGACTGGAGTGTCTGGGTCTCATCTTAACGTATAAATGACAGTCTGCATCATTGTTCTGTGCTGGTAAAATCAGGCAGCAGAGATTTTGAGGGTGTGCAGTACACTGGCAGGGAGAGAGTAGAGAAAGTGAAGCGGATGCCGCAGCTGCCTTACAGACTCATGACAGGCGGGGGACAAGTCTGCGGTGGAGATGGTGTTTGTGGCAGTGAGAGCAAACTGGAGACTCCCACAGAGTGAAGGTGAGGATGGTTCTGGTAAACTGGCAGAAAAGTAGGTTGTAGTTTGAAACCTCCACGCTGATTCTGACATTCAGGAGGAGATCAAACCTGCACATACACACACACGCATGCATACCAACATTAAAATGCTGACACACTTTGGAACTAACTGGCTTCAAGTCTAAAAACCAAATTCAAATTCATTGCTGTTCCATCATTTTGTGGCCCAGTGAAGATGGATAATCATGAAAATACAGTCCATCCTTAAAACAAATACATTTTAACGGCAGCAAAACAAAATCATGACCGTAAAAATGTCAATACTCCGTTCCTGCACAATCTATGTCTCTCTGGCCAACCATCCGGGTGGTAATTAATGAAAGAACGGGCGGCAATACACTGGGTGTGGAGCCGCTGCAATGACAGTGGAGAGGATTCAATAGACATAGATCAGTGAAAGGTGCTGATCGCTCCTGCTGCAACTTCACTGGACACAAAGGAGCGCTGGTGTCCCGCAGGCACTTCATCTTAGTTTATATCCTGACTCCACTGGGCCGGCCCGGGTTATGGCTCTCCAGGGACAACAGGCAACCAGATTACTACGATTGCTCTCGCACACTCAATTTGTCCCTTTGGAATCATCACACGTATTACACACGTGTACCTACATTTACAGCACAGTACACAAAATACTCATGGTCTACATAACCCACAAATTGTGTCTCATGGCCAGTCAAATCAATGAATGGTTAACTCTCTCAACAGTGTCTCAGAGCCCCAGACATGAAATTGTACCAAAAAAAGTCAAAGACATCACAATTAATCTTGATTAATCGAAATAAATGAACAAAATATGACGAAATTCACAGAGTTGGTGGACTTCAGTCATTACTGTATGTCTTAGCAGTGGCTTGTAGAACTCATCAAGACTTACTCATTGCCCAGCACTTGATGAGACTGGTCTGACCTGAAGTTGAAGTCATACACACACACACACACACACACACACACACATATATATGAGAAGACTTCTACAGTAACTCACTCTTAGCATCATGGTAAAGTGGGGTCAGTGGTGAGTCGTCCTCAGGGAGAAGAACAAGAACACAGGCTGCAGGAGAAACACATGAATCGTCACTGTGTGTGAAGCTGCTGTGTTTGTCTGTGAACTTTTACAATTAAATTATAAAAAGTTAATATAACCCTTACCTTATGGTCTCCCATACACACATTAGGGCCTAATGTGTTGTAAACAATGCCGTGATCCCCGTCATCTTCTCTCTGAAAAAACAATTAAAAACACACATATATTCTCTCAGCTACAAGGCCTGTACCTACACATACGGTTACACTTTAACAAAGACGCAATGAAACTTGTGTGAAATGATTTTTTTTATTAAATGAGACCGAGCTTTAACTGACCCTGTGAATGAACTCCTGGGCAGTATGAGACATGAGGATACGGTCACACCAGGCAGGACAGCGAGTGTTCATGTACTGGGTGGGTTTAGTGTAATCCTCACTGTAGGGGTAACTGAAGGTGAGAGGGCAGAGAGGTACACATGATACTACAGTACTGCAGTCCAGATACAGAATTAGATCTAGACATGGTTTGGAGGAGTCTTACCTGGGTGGAAAGGTGATGTCTTCTTCCCTGATAACATCCTGAAAAGCTGCGGCTTCTTTGTCATACTTCAAGAGCTGCACATGTCAAAAACATTTATGATCTGTTAACACTTTTCAACTCTTTAAGCACAATAACTCATTACTCTGCTGTTATTCTTCCCAACCTTATGTGACCTAATCTCATGTGCACCAAACTATAGTTATGCAGCGTTCAGATTACAGGGAAAACTGTTAGTAAACATCTGTGAGATGTACTGAGATGTAGTGACAGTGTTTATCAGGGTGAAATCTGGACACGCCTCACCGATGAGACGTTGTCCTCTCTGAAGTACGCCTGGTGCACGTAGGCGAATAACTTCTCCTCAATTTGGAGCAACACCTGCGCAGAGTGTGATTGTAAAGTAGCGTCAGCATCAATGAAACAAAAAGAACAGATTTTTCTGTAGCAGGTCTTTTGCGTCACCTGGTGGTCATTGTCCTTTTCTTCACAGATGATTTTCTCTACTTTGTCATTGCTGTCCTTCCTCACTGTCTGCACTTCCGCCGTAGTGGACAGATGCTGCTCACACAAGCACAAACACAAGATGACTTCCGTGTCAGGCTAACGCCAAACGTAATCACGTGACCTCAGCAAAGTAAAATCCATGTTTATGTACATTTGCAAGTACTCCGAAAGACAGGACACGCATGTTAGAAATGGAAGTAGCTTTTGTGTACACTAAAAGGCCTTAGTCATTTGAGGCTGACACTATTAAAAGTGGTAGACGAGAAGAAGTAATAGAAGTGGTACAAGTAATCAAAGCAAAGTAGTGACAGAAAAAGAATATGATGTAGTAAGTATATTAGAAAAATTGTTGAAGAACTATTACCTAACCAATACAGCTATACAGACCCATGGTTTACTGTATATAGAAGATGATAACAGTATAGGAGGTAAGTGTATATATAGTATTTCAGTATGTAAACTGTAAATACTCTACCTGGATGAGATTCAGGGTGTCCAGACGAAAGTTAAAGTCACCAAACAGAAAGAAAGGCTGAGGAGTGAAGCGATTGTCTGATATCCTGCAAGAGAAGTACACAGAATATCAGGTGACCATTTCCATTAAACATTACATTTTATTTTAAATCTGTGATAGGAGACTTTTAGATTTCAGTTAGCACTAGCATATTGGTTTAATAGAATTTACAGTTGTATTTACTGATGTTATGTTTTCTCCAAGAGAACATGGTGTCATTTTAGAAACTAGTCCAGTGGAGAGGAAAATCTTTTGAGACAGAACACAGGGGAAACTAAACAGAACTTCTCACAGTACTTGGTGAAACAGCTGCAGTGCAGACCTGTTGATGATGTATCTGAGGGCGTTTTTGCGGTTGGCTGAGTAAATGGAGGGACTGGATTCACAGGCAGTGAGGTTGGAGGCATCGTGGAACAGGTGGACATTAACTAAGTCCAGACCTCTGTGAACAACACACGCACAAATGAGCAAAAACACACAGAATTAAGTTTTACTGTCCTTTACAGTGAGGTCATCCAACAGTCTGAGTACACCTAGGGCAATACGAATGCCTCATATGATATGTGCCTCTATGTGTGTGTGTGTGTGTGAATGCAGAAACCCAGCCGTCAATAGGAAGCTATCCGATAAGTGAGTAGATTCCTGTAACAACAGGTCCACATCTATTCCTTCACTTTCTCTCACTTGTACTAAAATGTGCAGTCAAAACAAATAGGCTGTGTTGACTCACAGGCCTCAGCTGCCCCCTTCTCACTTTGGTGATGGGTTAAAAGTAGTGGTCACTTTTTGTTTTGTGCAGTGGCATAAATCACTTTCACTTTCGTGCAGACTTTACCCACCATCAACCTTCCTTATCACGAGGCAGACCATTTTTGTTTTTGTGTTTCTTAACAGTTTTTCCAATAAAAAGAAATGACAGTGTTTGTTTTACTGCTCTTCAGGGCCACGTGAGACCAAAGTACATACTGGTTGTGTATGATCCAACGAGTTCTCATGAATCCCTTCCTGGACCACTTGAACTGCCAACACAGAGAGATGAGAGAGAGTCAGCGAGGAGGAGCAGCAGCAGCAGCAGCAGCAACAGCAGCAGCATGTCTCAGCTAAACTGATAATTATTGATTCTTTCACATAATTTGTCTCATCAGCCTGACAGAACAGGCAGACAGCCCTCCACCCCTCACTGCAGCCCCTGTAGACTCATTTATTTACCAACATCTCCCTGTGGCCCACATGTCCTGTCTGTATACATCTGCAAACATAAATGTGCAGCATGGACTCAGGGATTCTTAGGGGTACAATTAAACTGTTTTGTTTTTTTTTGTTTGGGCAAGTTATGTCACTATAACAAAGTCGGCGACATATATCTTATAATGATTAGGATATCCATCCATCCATCCATCCATACATTTTCATCCGCTTATCCGTGACCGGGTCGCGGGGGCAGCAGTCGCCACCCAAATCACATTGCACCGTACCAAACCTTCCTGTGGGTGGTGAGTCCACTGGAAGGTACCAACTGCCCTAACCGGGATTCAAACTTGCCCAGGAGGTGAGCCCTGGGGTTCCACACCAATGACAGAGACATTGCCTCTGGGCCAAAGCGCCACTGATTAGGATATTACTGGGTTAAATTTATTTTCTTAACTTATACCGGTCTTACCACATTACAGCTAAATTTTTTTTTTTAAACATTTTAGCAATTTCCTTATCTAATTTTTAGCGATTCGAACTCAAATGTTCTGTTATTTGCACTATTTCTTAGCTGTGATTGGCTAACTTCTAGCTACGTTTAGGCATACTATAGTTGTATATATTTTTTACATTATAAAGTTTTTAACTATTAACTTCAATCCATAGCTTAAACTTATAAGCAGTTATTTCTTTCTTATTGCTGTTTTTCTAAAATTCATATTACTTTTAACAATGGTATTTCTACAACAACTTACCTTTTTTTTTTAAATGTGTATTTATTTTTGCTAACTTGGTTTTGGTTTTAGCTCTTTTTGATACATTCTTGCCATTTCAGAAACATTTTAGTTTGACTAGTTTTTCTTTTGGCTACAATGTAAATTAACTTTCAGGTAATTATCGTTACATAGAACAATTAACTTGCTGTGTCCCTTTACTCCTCTAAGACAATTAATTTCCAGACACTTTCATAAATTGTCTCCTATGACAAAATACATGTTAGTTGGACCTGACACTGAAGTTTTGTTGGACTAGGGCCATTAGGGTCATTTGGAGGTTTCCCTGTTTTTGTTCATACTCACATCAGGCCAAAAATGTCTGGGGAATTTTTCCTTCTCCACCGTGGTAACCCCCTCCAGTGAGCCCATGTACTTGTTGTGCCCCGACACTGCTTTAAAATCCTTAGCTGTAAGAGGGTTAGGGGAAGGGTGAGGGATGATGGTAAAAGGAGAGAGGGCGAGGTAGAGAGAGAGAGAGAGAGAGAGAAGACGCACCATGTAAAAGAGTGAAAAAACATGCAAACAGCAATCAATAAACTGGTGTTAACCTCATCAGAGCGGCATACGTGATGAGAGAATCTATAGGAGAGCCATTAGACTGCGTTCGGTGAACAACAATCGGTTTTGGGGCTACGCAGCGAGTGGCAGCTCCAGGATGTTTATGGCTCTTCCATAAGCTTTTCTGAGGAGCTTTTTCACACCTAACGTGACTGGACTATGCAGCAGGAAAATAACAGCTCCACTTTAGATGCAGGTTCTTTGCAAGTATCTGGCCCGCAGGTGGGAATGCCATCAAACCACCATTACACACAGAGAAATTGTCTGCTGTTCCTGATATTTAGGGGGAAAATGATATAAATCACATGCAATATCACTCTGACTCAAGCAAATTTACGAAAAATGGTCCAGGGGGCAGGAGGCCTTGTTCAGTTTAAGTAATCATACTTGTCAGGGTTTTCAAGTAAATATTTATATGATTTTATCCAAATTTTACAACACGACAAACTCATTGAAAAAAAGTAAAGGTCACAAAAAAGCAGATCAGTTTTTACCATTAAAGTCGTACTGGTAGATGTTGTTCAGTGTCTTGTGAATGAAGTACATACTTCCCAGTGCCTGTAGAGACACAAACAAAGGAATTAAAATGTTAAAATCTGACAAACAAGAAGTAGCAATACAATATATCTGAGGCAACCTTTAAAGTAACCAGTTGATTCATTTGTACTGATTTACAGGAAAGGTGTGATAATGTCTTAATCTGTAGTAACTCTGCCCTCTGCTTTGATTTTCTCGTTCTTTTCATTGTGTGTAAATGATTGGGACCTTTTTGGGTGGATAATCGGTATCCACCCAAATAGGTCCCTCTTTTTTTGTCCACCAGCATGCTGCTGGGTTTCAGATTGGACAGGATATAGTTGTTGTTTTTTTTATGTTCAATTGTGAAATTGTTACCATCACTTGAATCCTGATTATCAGATTGAGTTATCTCTAAATAGATAGAGAAAAAGTCTGAAACATACTTTAACTAAACTTTAAAAAGGATTAAATATTTTAGACCAACACCAACAGACCCCCAAGTTTCTCAGCAGTGACCCCCAGTAAAGCTAAAACTATAAAAATGATGAAAGCCAAACTGAACACGGGAGAAACCATTTGTGCTGCTGTGATGACAGATTGAATTGTTTATTTCCACATCAGGCCTTTTGAATTGTGGACCTTGTATTGAACGATACAGTGTGACGCACTGTATTGTTGCTGCTCTGCTAAAGACACATGAAACTTTAAAAGAATTTAGCCAACAAATGCCACAGCACACCCACAACCTGTGCCGCAGCATCTCACACACACACACTTCAGCACCCAATCACTCCTGACATGAGGCTGACAATTTTTAATGTACTAACTGCCTGCTCCACTGATCTGATTAATCATTCCCTGGGAGATCAATAAAGACAGAAAATTAAAACAATTTAAAAGGTATTAAGCAGTAGGCCTGGTGTCTGCCACTGCCACTCTGGCTGCTGAGGGTGTGCAGAAGAAAAATAAGGCAGTGCTCGAAGGGCTTGGGGCGTGACGGACCACGGTGGCAGCCCAGCCCAGCCCCATCCAGCCACAGCATGAGAGATCGCTCCCTGAAGAGATCATTTATCTTCAGTGCCAACGTCTTCCTCATTTAATAAAATGGAAGAGTCCTTATTGTCGGCTTCAGTGAGCAGCAATTAGTGACCAACTTGTCCAAACTAATGGAATGAGGTTAGGGATCAGCCAGATGCAGAGGAAAAAAAACTATTAAGATCCATACCAGGGTTCAGGCCAGAGGGCCGTCAGAACTGTAGGTGATTGAGAGATTCACCTGTAAAGAATACACTGGATAACTTAGTGAAAGTAAATTAGTCTCATTTTGAGTTTTTGTGTAAAAAATAAAATAGTTAAAATACTTACTATACTATATTTTATTTTATTATATATAAGTTATTACAATTTCTTCATGTTTTATTTAATTTATGCCATTCACACGTGTTATAAGGAAAAATACTTTTTGTTTTTGTTAAAATGACTTACAGCCACCGTTATTTCTCATCTTTTTCTTTGTCAAACTCCATGATCAGAACAAGTCTTTCAAGGTCATGGCCTGTGCCTTCTCTGTTCTGTTTCATGATTTTTTATTGTTTGACTTAGTTGTTTATGCAGCTTCCGTGAAAAAAATCTGACACATATATGAAAGTAACTCCGTACCTTAGTTTTAAGAATCTCTTTAAATCACCTTCGTTTCTGTGCCTTAGTCAGTGAAAATAAAAGTGATTCTTCAATTGTTCTTTCTACACATGCAGTTTAAAACCACGCTATCAATAGGTAAGTATTGAGCAGGTACAAAAAGCATAACAAATGTTATTCTAGTTAATTATATGCTGCATAATTGTCATTTTTGTTAAAAAAAAATCTGAGGTGAACAGCTCAATAATTGGCTATAAAATAAAAAATACAGTCTGTTTATGTTGGCTGAGTAACAACATTGAGTTGAAACCGTAGGCACAGAACACACTCACACACACACATACACCACAGATACACAATCTGCTCCACATACTCTGCCAAACACCTATCTTCATCAATCAGGTTTGTGCACAGTTTAATAAAAAAATATTGACTTACAAGTGATTTTTTATCAAAACACCATTTGTACTGAGAAAGGCATGAGAGTCTGCCCCCCTCACCCCCTCCTATACACCTCCAAAAAGAGAACCCCTCCACCCACCCTTCTTCCTCCTCTGTAAACTCTCTCTTGGCTATATAACTGATGATCCACAGCCAAGGAGAAACAAATTGAAAATCAATGCAGGTGGCACCGACGAAATGAGAATGAGGCATTAGGAGTGTTGGTGTTGGTGGTGGGGGAATGCAACCCTCTCAGGGCACAGAGTGGAGGGTGCACTGACCGGAGCACAAGGGGGGAGGGCTTAGTCCCAGCTGTCTTCTGACCCCCCTCTCAGTCTTTATTTATCGTGTACAAATAGGCCGGGATCAATAGTTTTAATCTAGAGTCAAATGTATTGAGTTTGGCCTGTCTCTCTCCCTTCGTCTTCCACCTCCTCCTCACCTGGCTATTGACTTTCTCCCCTTTTTTTAACTTTAAACACCTTAAGTCTGCAGCTGCTGCCATTGACCCCTGCTGTCAGAGATGAGGAGTGAGGGGATCACCTGGGAGGAGTAAGGGTTAATAGTGTGAAAGATACGCAACAGAGCCACTTTTCTCCACAGCAAAGATGAGTTTTAGTTGAAAATAATACACAGACTTACACTGTGATAATAGCTAAACAGCTAAGGCTAGGTGTTTTATATTGTTACTAACAACCAGTTTGCTTGGTGGAATATGTATTGTTTTCACATTAAACATGCATTTTTACATTTCATGTCTCTTTAAGAAAGTTAACCTTGTTGACTGCAAGCAACTAAGGGCTAAATTATTCAGACAAATAGTTTCTTACAGTATTTCCCACAAGTTGAAATCCTTCAGTGATGCAGGCAGGTGTTGCCTTAGCTCAAGGTTATTCAAGAAATGTGGAAGAACTAGCACAGGGCACCCTGCTGACGTCTGTGTCTGAACCACCTTAACGTTACAACAATGTTTATATCTCTGTGCCAAAGACTGTCGTGATGCCTGCACATTTGACCGTGCCCACACACTTGCAATACCTGTAGTGTGACTGTTTCTTATTCAGGAAACAGCAGTGATTAATTTGATCCCATCAATTTTACACCATTGCAAACAACACACATTAAATGAAACTTTCTAAGGAACAAAATAAATAATTTAGAATAAAAAATTCAGATCAGAATGCATCCATACATTGTTACCATGTATAGAAGATAATTGTTTTTTGTTAATTCTCTCTTTATTTTTCTTAAATGGTTTTTCAAAATATTTCAATATATCTATGTGTTTAATTTTATAGTTATTATATTTGATAGTAATTCGATTATTATATGTATGTATATATCGATAGTTTAACACTAAAAATCAATAAACTGCGGTCCAAAGCTCTCTGTGGTTTAAAACCTGCCGATTATAACTCAGGAGTCGAAGTGCGGCAGCAGCACCAACTACCAGAACATTAAAGTGGAGGAGAACTCCCTCTAGCGGTAAAAATATGATTGTGACTTACCGTGAAACCTTCTGCTTGGAAGTGCTTGTCCACATAGATACAGACTCTGTCATAGTCTTTCATGTTCTCATTGGACTCAAGGCTCCTGAAAATTATGAGGGAGGAAAAAAAATCAAAGGAACTAAATACATGTTCATCTTAGCATAGAAATGAGGAAATTAGAATATTTTCTTAATCTTCCATTGTTTTGGTAAATATTGAAAAGCAGGCCCGGTAGGTAAACTCCCTGTCTCAAAGATGTACAGACCTTAAAGACGCTGAAGGAAAAGGTCCAGATAGTTATAATTCAAATAAAAACAAACTTGTGACATTTACAATAGTTTGTCCCCATGCCTTGAATATTACTGCCATTAATACTTTAAATAGGGCCACAATTAAAAAAAACAACTGAACACTCCGAAGCCGGTACAAACCAGATTTGTAGAATGTACGTTTTACTTTTTCAAAGTACAATTACAACTAACTATTTCTGAAGAACTCAACTCTTTAATAAAAAAGGAAATCTACTTGCTCAAAATGTCCAAATTTATAAATGAATACCAACAACACATCAAAATGAAAAGACAGCGATAAAGTAGTACTAAAACGTTCACACAGCTTACATCCTCAAGTAGCTGGTTAAATGGCAACAAGGTTGCCAGGTTTTTTACTCGCCAGGTAGTAGCGAGTATTAAGTTTAGGTATAAGGAACTTTGACTTTTGATGCAAGTAAATGCGCTTAAATAAATAACATGATTATTCAGAGGTTGCATACAACATTATTAATGAAGCCCAGCTCATGAAAACCCCATTTTCTTCCTACCCAAAGAAGTCTTCTGCATGGCCCATGTTGACTATATAGTCCTTTCCTCCCACCTCCTGGAAATGCAAAGCGATGAATTTTGGCTTGAAGGAGTGGATGGTCTGTAACACAGGACAGCTAACTGGTTAACAGTTATCAGTCGCTTTCTACAATAACATGATGCAGTTGTGTGAGTTATGATGTCATCAGTCACGTGATGTTATATTTGTGTTAATGCATCAAGTATATTACTCAATGCATCTAAAAGTTCTAATGATCTTGTCAGTGTAAAGGTAAATATGTTAATGCATAAAACAATATCTGAAAAAAAGGATAAAAAAACAAACAACTAATGTGATGAGATTTGCTTAGTTATTATCTAAGCACTTCAATTGTATTATTTAGTTTTATAATCTACATAACCCTTTCTAACCAAAGCAGTTTAACAAAAAAAAATGATTGTAAGTTCTTTATAGATTTATAAAATAAAGTAAATATATAAGCAATTCATAACCCCTTGCAGGTGTTTTTCTAACAGCTCTGGACCTTAAAAAAATTGGGGGGGAAAAAATCTTACCTTATACAATTCTTGAAGCCACTCTCTTTGAATATCACCCAACTGCAGAGAAGAAGAAAAACCTCATCAAACAAATATTAAATATTAAATAGGTATTTTATTTTATTAATTTATTATTACAGGAGCAACAGCTTTTAAACCGTGTGCGTAATCCTAAAGTTGTTTTAACAAGCCACCAGAGGGCGCCAGCATCTTTCCCCTCAAAACACTACTACTAATGAAGACGGTGAACATGTAAAGCTCGGTGCCACTGCTATAAAACCCAGCCTGTGATATTTGTTGACATTTGAAATTTGCACATATAATTACTTGTGGTGTAGCGTTTATATGTACTTAAGGTAAAGTTATTTCCATATATACATCAGTTGAAGCCAGAAGTTCTTAACCTGGGTTCGACCGAACCCCAGGGGTTCAGTGAGACAGTCTCAGGGGTCCGGCAGAGGACAAGACACACACCCGGCTCATATGATTCGTGATGACCCCGGCCCCCTGCTTGGCCACCACCGAAGGTTTAGATGAATGCGCATATGAAACTGGTGGGGTTCAGTAACTCCAACAAGGTTAAGAACCACTGGTCTTAGCTAATTTAAATGAAGAACATTCAAAAGTATGTACTGATTTTTTTAACGTAAAATTGCAGGCGGTTGGACATATTCAAAATATTTAAGTTGTCATGTGACAGGAGATAACATGTTATTAAAATCCCACGGCTTTGTCTCACAGCATTAGGATGACTTCAAAATTTA